CACCTCGGGAGGACGAGCCACCTTGTGTCATGGTTCTCTGCGGCCTGTGGCACGGTGTCTCCCTCGGGTTGTCCCAGGCCCAGTCTGAGAAGCGGACCTTTGCAAGCTCTTCCCCACCCGCCAGGAGCGGCTGTGCTCGGTGCCTGAACCCAGCCTTTCCAGTCTAGTTTCACGCTGGGCAGTCTTGCTTTTCCTGGAGGGCCCCCCCCCACCACCCATTTGTCAGAGGAAGAAGCGTCAGGGGGGTGCTGTGTATGGCAGCCCTCGCATGTGGTTGTGTCTTCTCCTTTTGCCCACGCCTTGTCCTCTTGGGGATGAAGACACTTCTGAGCATGCCTCTGCACGCTGGGTTTTGGTCATGTGAGCCACAGACTCATTCATGTCTATGGGACCTTGTCACCCAACTGTGTGTTTAGCAGACGCCATGATCCAGGACCCTGCATCCTGTTACCAAGATATCATCAAGTAAACCACCCTGCCCCAGGTCCCAGGGGCCGGTGTGTCACACAGGGGAGTTTGCCAGGATGATACACAAAACATTTAAGAACCCGGACACAGACCAGGCAGAGTGGACACAGGCGGCATTGCCGGAATGGGGTCCTGAGCCAGGTTTAACCGTTCAGATGGTGGAAGGGTTCCTGGGGTTCCGAGCTCAGTGGCTGTCCGCCACCCAGGACAAGCGCATGTGACAACTGGTGTGCTGTCCTTGCTCATCCCGCTGACCAAGTGGGGACTTGGCACCTTTGTTTGTACGCTTTCTGTCCTGGGCATTGGCTAGATTGGAGCTCACTGCCCCCTCCCTCTGTCTCTCCACCTGCTCCTCCCCGACCACTGTGGCCTGGCCCTGCCTGTCTCCTGGCAGTGCTCTGCCACCTGCGGAGAGGGCATCCAGCAGCGGCAGGTGGTGTGCCGGACCAATGCCAACAGTCTCGGACAGTGCGAGGGGGACAAGCCGGACACCATCCAGGCCTGCAGTCTGCCTGCCTGCAGAGGTGAGCCGGAGAGGATGTGGGGGTGGGGGAGGCCAGGCAGGCCCAGCTCCTCTAGACCCAATTTCCAGCCCAGCCTGTATCCTGGCCCCCTAGAAATCCCCAATATTAGAGGTGCTTCTCTCTGCTCACAGGAAACCTCCAGAACTCTACCGTGAGGGCTGGCGTCCAGGCACTTGTGACCCCACAATCTGGGTCCCTACATCCTATTAACAAGATAACATCAAGTAAGTGTGTTTCTGGGCCCCACGCCTCCCCCACCCTTCCAGTGGCCACTGCTCCCTGTAGTGGAGCAGACCCAGTGCATGTGATCTTAGCCTCCAGAGGCCTCGGATTCCTCAGCGGTGAGGTGGGGCTAATGCTTGTCCTGGTCCATGATCCCTTATCTGCAATTCTAAAATGCTGAAATCTGCACGTGTTTCCCTGAATTTGGTGCAGATTCATTTGGCAGCAAAATGTGACCTGAACTAACAAGAGATCCGTTATTCTGCTATAAAAACATTGCCATATTTGGTTATAAGATGATGTCCCAATCTCCACTGGGAATGTTATACAATATGAAACAGTGAAAATTATTTTTCTAACCTCAAAAGTTCTGAATTATGAGCCATGTATTGTTTCAAGATTTTTGGATAAGCAGTTGTAGATCTGAGCTGCCGTCCTACGGCTGTTGAGAGAATTAAATGAGATAATGCCTGCAGCCCTCCCTGTCCAGATGTCAGCTAACAACAACCAAAATAGTAGCTTCTCTCTGCCTCGTGATCAGTTCTTTCTCCCACACATGCATCCACCCACCCACCCATCCATCCATTCATCCATCTACCCATTCATGCACCCACCTATCTCATCCACCCATCCATCAATAATTGACTAAGCACCTGCTATGTACCAGGATCAATGTTCTATGTGCCCTTCTAAAGTCCTTCTCTCTTTCCCAAAGGTAAGTAATTGTAGATCTGGGTTAAGAAAAGGAGTAGCAGAAAGACCACAGATCCTAACTCCTAGTGACCTCACCTGTAAAACAAAGCAGTCTGACTAGATGTCCTCAGAGAATGTTCTGGCTCTAACTCTGTGGCTTCTCTGCCCCTGTGCTGAGGCTCCGGCTGTGCAAGGGCCTGGGTTTCCTTCCCTTTTCCTCCCAAGAGCAAAGGATGGGGCTCTGATTCCTGTCCTAGAATTCTGGTGCCATCTAGAGGCCACCAGACTCATTCCTTCGACTTCCGTTGGCGCAGAAACAAAGCAAAAGAGACTAGTACAGTGAGCGCTCCTGTATGCCAGGAATATTATAAATGTTATTTATCGTGTTATTATTCATTGGTAAATGCCAGCGTTACCCCCATTTTACAGTTGATGAAACAGGGTGGTGGTGGAGAAATTGACTTGCCCAAGGCCTCACAGCTTTTAAGTCGGGGAGCCTTGATTGGAACCTAGATCTGCTTGATTCCACATTTACTGGTGGAGGGTTAGTGTTTGATCAGCGTGTCACAAGGTGACTTACCTGGGTATTCACCTGGTCCTGGTGGAGTGGACCAGACTCCTTTGGGTTGGTTGGGAGGAGGCACGGGTTCCCACTTCCACTCAGAGCAAGGTTCCCAAGGTCTGCTACACGTTAGAGTCACCCAGTGCCCGGGTCACACCCACCCCACCCGTGGTCACACCCACCCCACTCGTCTCTCTAGGTGTGGGAGCTCGGCAGTGGCTATTTGTAAAGCTCCCCAGGTGAATCCAGTTGGCAGTCAAATCCGACAACTCATGATGTCGGGCCGTGGTTCTCAGAGTTTCCCGTGTATTGGCATCACCTTGAAGGTCTTGTTAAAACACAGAGCTGGGCCCTCGCTGGTTTGGCTCAGTGGATAGAGCGTCAGCCCGTGGACTGAAGGGTCACGAGTTCGATTCTAGTCAAGGGCACATGCCTGGGTTGTAGGCTTGATCCCCAGTGTGGGCGTGCAGGAGGCAGCCGATCAATGACTCTCTCTCATCATTGATGTTTCTCTCTCTCTCCCTTCCTTTCTCTGAAATCAATAAAAACATATTTAAAAACAAACAAAAAACGCACAGAGCTGGGCCCCACCCCAGAGTTTCTGATTCGAGAGGCCTGGGTGGGGCCTGAGAATGTGCATTTCCAACCAGCGTTGGTGACGCTGACGCTGCAGGTTGGGGGCCTGCTTTGAGAACCACTGTTCGGGGTGTAGCCCCTCTGCCACATAATGAGGGCTGTTACTCGGTCCTGTCTCCGTCAGGTGGCCCGTGTCTCCATCTGGGGAAAAGCTTTATAGTGCGTCCAGCCAGAGCAGGAGAAGGGCCTGCCGCAGGCGGGCTGAGGGGGAGGCTGGGGGTGTGTCCTGGTGTCAGCGGCTGACAGATGTCCTCCCGGCATCGGTCCTTGTTCTGTGTGTGCAGCAGAGCCCTGCATGGGGGACAGGTCGAGCCTCTGTCAGATGGAGGTGCACGAGCGCTACTGCTCCCTCCCCGGCTTCCACCGGCTGTGCTGTGAGTCCTGCACCAAGAAGGCCTCAGGCCCTGCTGCCAGCCTGGACCCCGGCCTGACCTCACCACCACCCTACTCCACGCCTGGGAGCCCCTCGCCAGGAGCCAAGACCCCTCCAGAGGCTGTGGAACCCACCATGTGGCCAACGGGCTCGGACAACCATCTGCTTGGCCGACCCACACAGCTCCCAGGACCTCTGGGTACAAGCCCCCCGGTGACCCAGCGCCTCGGCTTTGCTCCCCAGAAACTGAGTCCTGGAGCATTGCGGAGCACTTCCCCTAATGCCACCTGGGGGCAGCCTTGGGGCTGGACCCCTGGCCCACCTCTGCCAGCCTCTGAGGAGAAAGGGCAACTCAGGGAAGACCTGAAGCATCCGGGCACCGGCCTTCCAGCCACCTCCCCGGTGACATGAGCCCTGTCCTGCCCATCCCGCCGCCAGTCAAGTTTACACTCTGTAAACTTGCCCAAGACCTCCAGCTCAGAGGACACCCAGCGGGCCAGGGGCAAGCACAGACTTCCTTTTAAATTATTTGCCTTCTTGTTCTAGTTTCGGGCTGTGATACTTTTCACCTGTGAAATGGGTGTGCGAGGAAGAAAAAAAATCAGGGAAAACCGTAACCTGAGATACCTCAGCAAGCAGCCCTGGTGACTGAGTCGAACCTCTCAGGGGCTCCTGTCTGTCTCTCCTGCCAGGACTGAGGGCCAGCTGACGCCCTGTCCTCACAGCCACTGGGTCCCACACTGGACCTGTCCAGCTGCCTGTCTTCACAGAACTGGTGGGACCCCTGTGCAGGCCCTGTCTACCTGACCCCTCTGCTCAGAGGGGCACAGCAGGGCCAGGGAAGTTGAGGGCGGGGCCCGGGGGCGGGCAGTCAGAGAGGAAAGGAGCTGGGGGTGAGGGCGGTTGTGGGGTTCGGCTGCCGGGCTGGGGCAGGTGGGAGGCAAGTTCATCTCTGGCCCAGCCTTTGTAGCAAGAGCTCTGTGCAGCTCTTCCAGCCAAGGCCAAGGGGCAGTCAGCTTGCCACCAGTGTTGGTGGCCACCTCTGCCTCGGTAGACGGCACTTTCTGCTGCTTCTGGGACCTCCAGTCTACAGGTGGGCCTCCCAGCCTCACTCCGGTTCACCCAAAGGGGCTCTGGACACTCTAGAAAGTGTCTTCCTCATCCAGGGATTTCCCAACTGGTGCTAGAGCCATGGCTAGACCAGGAACGGCATCTAGGTCATCACATCACTCCAGGGCGTGAAGGGAGACGACCTGGAAGGGAACACAGATGGAGACGTGCGTTCGACGTGCGTTCTCAGGCTGTGCCCCGTCAATCATTGCCCTTTGCCAAAGACCACTCCTGCTGGAGTTAGGGGTCCTCTTCTCCCACCTGGCTCCAGCTGGGGCCAGAGGTTTGTGGTGCTGATCGGGGAGGGGGGTCAGGCCTCAGAGCTGAGGACCTGAGTCCACTCATAGCCGGGCTCTGGAAATGACAGGGGCCACCCCGGGGGGGATATGAGCCTCTGCCCCCTGCTGGGGTGGGGAGGAGACGCTGACAGACAGCACTGTGGTGCCTCGGCTGCCCTACCCCCTTACGTCCAAGGGCAGGTAACTTCCCTTGACCCTCTGGCTCTCTGGAAGCCACCTGAGTCCCCAAGGGTCCCTCCCAGGGGCCTCACCCCAAGTGGTGCAAGGGTCTCCCAGACCCTTCAGCAGCTGTAGAGGTGCTTGCTAGCTCTTCTGAGCCAAGCTACAGGGATAGGAGCAGCGGGCCGGCCTGGGAGTGCCTGGGGCGGAGAGCCCTCCACCTGCTGCCTGCCCCTCCTGATGCTGGGCACACACTGAACCATTCCTGTGACCCCGCCTGCCTGGGGAAGGGCTGTGAACTCTGCTTTTGAGATCCAGATCTTTGAATTGTTACGTATTTATTAACATTGTCCTTGGTGGTTTGTTCTGGACCCCAACATGTTGTGTTGTGTGTTTTCTCTCTGTGTGTTTTGGAGGACAGGGGCTGGGCTGTGACGAGACAATTGGGGGTGGGGGCTGGACGGCGAGATGCTAGAGGCACAAGAAGACTTGACCCGCAGCCTCCCTGCCTTGGCCTCACTGGCCATGGGGCTCCTCTGAGCATCACTCAGGGTGGAGAGGTAAGAACAGGGCTGGGGGCCCACTCAGGTTGCACCGCCGAGTAGCTGTGTGGCCTGGGGAAAGTCGACATCCAGAATTTGGCCCAAAGGGTGGACGTGCCGGGGAGGTAGTTTTGGGATCTGCATGGTGAAGAACGTTCTAAGGAGCAAGGCTGTCCGCACTTGGAAGGTGGTGAACATTGTTTTCCTGCAAAAGCCCTGCGGGGTGCGACTGCAGTGTTTGGACAGGTTCAAGCCTCGGACTGAGGAGAGGGCACAGTCCTCTCGTGGCCACGTGCAAGTCCAGCTTGGATGGCAGAGCCCTCCCAGCACAATTATAGCCAACAGCTATGGTTGTGAGCTTGAACCTATGGTCTGAACACGTGGCCCCACGTGCCTGAGTGATAGAGTTCAGGGGCATGTAGTTGAGTAGGATTGAAACCCAGAGAATGATGTAAACAACTTGACCACGCCCTTATTTTGCCTCGTGGCATCTGCTATAAAATAAAGACACGGCTTGTGGGCGTTGGCGCTGTCCATCAGAGGGGCAGTGTCCCACCGAGACCCAGCTTTCATTCTCTTGTCTGTCTTTTCTAATCCTTTCATCGCCCCCACTCAGGGTCACTGAACCAGGCTGAGCTGGCATGGCACATAAGGCACCCTAGGGCTGAGTATGCCATGGCCGTGCCGGCTCCCCACAAGTCCGAATGGAACGTGGATGCTGGACAGATGGTAGGAGTGTGATGCATCTTATTGGGCAGGGCAGGCTGACATGAAACACGTGCTGTACAATTTAAAAGAACCAATTCACAGCTAACCCCCTGCGGTGTCAGACATTGCTAATCCATCACTGAGTGTATGGATTTGTTTCTCACAGGCCCCTCCCTAACGTTGTGGGGCTCACGACAAGGACACAGAGAACCCCTCCAGGGACCTCACATGCCTGTGGGAGCATTCTAGCCCTCAACTTCAAGCTCCATTTATATCTCCCTGCGAAAGCCCTCCTCCCCTTAGAAGCTACCTCTTTTAAACAGCTATCACTTGGGCCTAGAAGTGCATACAGGGTAACTCAGGCACACCTCCGGGGGACTGACCTAGGGAGATGCTAGCACAGGCCCTAGAATTGCACTCAGAATTGTTCAGGCAGGGAATTCTGTGGGACCAGCTACCCAGGAGGTAGGTAGACCACAAAGAGGGGATGACCGAGGTGGACAGATGCCCTTGGTGCTGTGCAGTCCTTGCCATGGTTGGTAGTGTGGGCAGAGTGGGCCTCTGAGAACTTCAGCACCCCCGGCTCTCACAGCAGTTGGAGCACATTGCTTCTGTTCCCCTCCCCCACTGCCCGGGCAGCAGCATTCCATCCTGAAATCTGTCCAGCTAAAACTTCATTAAAAAAATACATTTTTTTTTATTGATTCAGAGAGGAAAGGAGAAGGAGAGAAAGATAGAAACATCAGTGATGAGAAGGAATCATTGATTGGCTGCCTCCTGCACGCCCCCTACTGGAATTGAGCCCGCAACCTGGGCATGTGCCCTTGATGGGAATGAAACCCGGGACCCTTCAGTTGACAGGCCAGTGCTCTATCCACTGAGCAAAACCACCTCAGTCTAACTCTTTATTTTTAAGGGCACATAGTACCCCATGTATGGATAAATGACCATTTATTAAACCACATTCTTTAGGACTGAAAATTTAGGTTGTTGCTAAATTTTGACATCATAAACGATGTGAAGAAAATCTTTTCATTTTTACCTGATTTTTCTTAAGACAGCTTTCCAGAAGTGAGTTAGAGTGAAAGATGTACCAAATCCACATCTTGAAGGCACTTGATATGTATTTCTTATTGCCTTCCATAAATTGTCCAGACTCCAGTCTCTCCAATGGGATAACAGTACGGCCGCCAACTCTAAAATTTTGGTTTTCATCTTCTCAAAAAACACTTTCAGAAGAAGTCTTGGGCATCCAAACAACATTGCCAGACATTTTGAATTTGCTGTCTGCATAGCAAGAATTGGCATTCATAACGGTGTCCCCAAGAGCCTAGGATACTTGAGGGGCCTTCCGAATCACCTCACCTCAGCTGACCATCTCGTTAATAGTCGGCAGGGTGTAGGGGGTAGAACATTGGTCTTGGAGGCAAAAGATCCAGGTTACAGCCCAACCCTGTGTCTTCATGTCTGACCGTTAGTGCTTCACTTGACCTACCACCTGCAGGACGGGGAAAGCCATCTCTGACCTGCTCTCTGGATGGGGCAGTTGTGAAGATGGTATGGGAACATGGGAAGTAATCATGGGACCCATCGGTAAGTATCAGCTTGTCCCTTGTATAAAGAGTTGTCAAGAAAGAGGTATGGTGATCGCAATGTGGCTTTCATTCCAGATTACTTTCTAGAAATGGGAACTTGAGTTTAGGGGGCTATATTGCTAACATTTATTGAACACATACTATAAGGCCAGGCACTGTGCTATGCCCTTCACCTGATATCCCTAAATCCTTACAACAACCCCATGAGGAAACTGAGGCTCAGAGAGGTTGAGTCACTTGCCTAAGTCACACATCTAGCCAAGTGCAGACAGTCTCTCCATAAGCAGCTGAGGGGAGATCATGCAGTTGACAAAACATGTGCCTGGAATTCTGTGTGCAGGCCACCTGCTGGTACCCAGTAAGTGACAGTGTTTGCTAAAAAGAAAAGGGCTTGAGGTTCTTAGTATTGAAATCAGAGCCCAGATAATCTACTTACTGGTTAATCTAGTGCTCTGGCTGGGAAGAATCCTATATAATAAAAGGCCAAAATGCAAATTGTCCCCTTGGGAGTTTAACCAACTGGGAGTTGGACCACTCGCTATGACGTGCACTGACCACCAGAGGGTGGCATGGAATGAAGGCAGGCCCTGCCCAGCAGCGTAGGGATCCTATCCATGCATGAATTTTGTGCACTGGGCCTCTAGTTCTCATATAAAAGCAGAAGCCGAGGTTCAGGGTAATGAAGTAACTGCAGAAGGTGACACCGGGAGTGGCTGCGCCTGGCTCTAAAGCCATCAAGTCTTTCCTTCCACTCTGCCAAGTAGCTATAGAATTAGAACGTGGTCGGGGCACAATAGTCCTGGCCACTAGGTAAAACTAAGCTGTCAATCAACACCTTTTGTAGTGAACGGAATTGGATTCCCCACTGCTAACATCCTGTAATTTAGGAGGCAATAAAATATACTTCACAGAACTTGCCCTGATCCGTGAGTATAAAGAGTTTTCCTTTTCCCTCTAAGAACCTTTCCCTCTTGAGGGCTCAGCTTCTACTATAAAATAGATGATTGAACTCAGTGCTCATTGGGCTATTGTTCCAGCCAAGGGCCAAATGGTCTCAGGGGGGCCATTGTTATGGGGATGTGGAGGTTAAGGGGCAGGGAGAGCTAGAGAGCTGACGCAGTGGACATGAATGAGCTGGGACGAGCCACAAATGGACGGCATGTGTGTCCAGAGCAGGATGCCCCCACTCCAGGCAAATCTTGTAAATGAGGGTGGGGAATATAGTGAGTGAGAGCTTATGCCAGGCGGAACAGGATCCAGAGTTTCCATAGCTTCTGATGTTTTCAGAGAAATCTCAACTCCTGAGTTTTAAGTGTTAACAAAGAATAAATACTCCAAAGCTCAAATGAAACTTGTCAATGGTTTTGTCCTTGAGCCACGTGCTGCCTCTGGTCTGCTGAGCTGGCCCAAGGTGGGCTGGTCTGGACCTTCCCAGAGCCACCAGCACAGCAGCTTTGCTTGGGGCTCCTCCCCCTCCCCCTGTCTCTTCAATTCTGGGGTGTGCAGCTCCCGGTCAGGCTACTTTAAAGGGCCAGGAGCCTGTGTGGAAAGCCTTCCCTTTGCCCTGGCTAGACCGGTTTGGAGGGAGTGCTGTTAGCAGCTTTAGAAAGAGGGGCCAAAGCGGGTTCTGGCTGTGGGACTGAGGGGATCATGTCTTCTCTGTGCCTCAGTTTCTTTTTGATCTCTTCATGATACCTAGCAAAGCAGGATGCTATGCGGACTACATGCCCGGTTGTCCCTTAGTAGCTATGACAAGTTACCTAACCTCCCTTCGCCTCATTTCTTCACCTAAAAAAGGGAGGGGGGAGAATGGTAATATTTAATCTCATTATGAGAACTAAATGGGATCATATATATTAAATGCTAAGCATAGAGCCAGGGACATCAAAGGCCTTGAACAAATGTTAGTGACTTTTATTACTGGGATACCCACTTAATTCTATAGTTTGAACTTAGAATCACAGACTGTCCAAGTAAGAAGGGGCCTAAGTGAGCTGAGGGCCGACCGGATGCCCAAAGAGAGGAGAGACTTCCCCAGGACAGACAGCTTGCTGGGGGCAGACCAAGTGCCACCAGGGCTGTTCTGTGACAGGGATTTGGGGAGAGCCCCTGGGAGGTGCACTCTGCTCATTAGCCCTTCACCCAAGTGCTGTCCATGATTGGGACTGGACAATTGCCCGCCTTCCTGCCTGGGCAGCTATGTTGGGGTGCCCACCCTATTTTAGAAGAAGTGGACAGCCCTGGACGGTGTGGCTCAGTTGGTTGCTGTAGTCCCATGCCTCGCAGGATTGCAGGTTCAATTCCCAGTAAAGGCACATACCTAGGCTGTGGGTTTGATCCTCAGGCGATCCTGGTTGGGGAGTGTACGGGAGACAACTAGTCGATGTTTCCTCTCTCACATCAGTATTTCTCCTCCCCCTTCCCCTCTCCCCCTCCCCCTCTCCCTCTAAAATCAATAAAAACATAACCTCCATGAGGATTAAAAAAACAGCCAGGAGGTAGACCAGTGGTTCTCAACCGTGGCTGCACATTAGAATCACCTGGGAATCTTTTTAAAATCCTGATTTCTGGGCAACTGATTTCTAAGAATCACTGAGGCAGACAGGCCTGGGAGAGCTGCTAATAGCACTCACTGTTCCTCCCCTTTCCTGCTGGCAGGAAGGAAACACCTAAGCAATCATTACCTGGGTTAATTATCTCTGATGGGAAACAAAAGCTGAGCCAAATGGAAAAAAACAGAGCTGGGCTGCATCAGTGTAATACCAGCTCCAAAGGCTCAACAGCCAGAAACCCAGAGGACAAACCTGCGTTTCAACAAAATCAAACCGATTGACTTGGGGCGTCGAGGCTGCATCGAGTGACGCTGCACAGGGGGAGGAGGGTGTCTTTTCTGAGGTTTGGATTCCCCCTGAAGCTATCAGTCCTGGATTGGTGACTTTCTGAGGATTAACTGGGGGCAGGTGCTGTCAGGAGGCAGGGTGCTTTAGCAATTGGGTATGGCCAGGAATAAACCAAAAAGCCACAGGGCTCTGGGGGTCTCCTTGGTAAGAAGGCGACCGTTACTCAAATAGGGGGTGACTGTGGCATGGCACAACGGCTGCAGCACCTGGAGGAAAACACAAGTTCCTGTAACCTTGCAGCGGCGTGGGGTCTGCCCCCAGCCTGCCCGGGGAATGGCAGGGCACTGTGGGTTTTCTAGTCTGAGTTCATTTTCGGGCTTGTATCCTCTTCAGGTTTTTACTCCTTCACAAGCAAGTCGGCCAAAAGTAAAACGCAGTTACTATTACAGCATCTTTGTCATTTTTATTTCCGTTTGCATACTTCAGTGGCCCAGAGGAAATGAAAGTAGCCAGGAATGGGTCACTAATGTAGAAACCTGGGCAGGGTCTCAACCAAAACCACATACTTCTGGGAGATTCACCTAGAGACGCCACACCTGAGGCCAAGCTGAATGAAGGCTCCAGGAATGAGCACGTGCTTTGCTCCCTGAAAATAGCACAATGAGAGCAGTTGGGCAAAGAGCCTAGAAAACCCACAGGTTCCCCCCACCCTGCCAATCGGGTGGAAAGGGGACTGTGTGCTTGGCAGTGCCCAAATGGGCACTGTAACACTTGCTATTTGTCTCCCATTAGGGATACAGACCATCTCAGACGGAGATGGGCAAATTGCTAGTTTGCACCTTTCCCTCTCCTGGCTGGCAGGAACAAAGTGTGTAGGCAAAAATCAGTTTATATGAATAATCTCTGATGGTGAACAAAGGCTTAGGTGGAGAGAATGAACAAATGCTGGACTACACGGAAGCAAACAGAAATGTGAGCTCCTCAGACCAGCATGGGTGGCGGGCTTTCCTTGCAGGGCATTCCCTGTAGAACAAAGGTCCAGACAGGATTGAGAGTCCTCGTACAAAACAGGGATTTTGTTTTTACAGCAAAATTATATTTGAGTAGACATTTCTTCAAAGCAGATACACCAATGGCCAATAAGCACATGAAAAGGTGTTAAATACCAGATGCCACCTGGGAAAGGCACATTAAAACCACAATGAGCCCAGCTGGTGTCGCCCAGTGGTTGAGCATAGACCCATAAACCAGGAGGTCATGGTTCCATTCCTGGTCAGGGTATATGCCCAGGTTGTGGGCTTGATCACCAATAGCAGGGTGTGCAGGAGGCAGCTGATCAATGATTCTCATCATTGATGTTTCTCTCCCTTTCCCTTTCTCTCTGAAATCAATAAAAATATATTTCAAAAAGGACACCAGGACTTTCAAAAAACCCACAATGAGCCTGCTCTGGCCGGGTTATCAAGTGGTTAGAGCATTGGCCATGCATCAAAGAGTTTCGGGTTTGATTCCCAGTTAAGTGTGTCTGGGAGACAACCAATCAATGTCTCTCTCATTTCAATGTTTCTTTCTCTACTTCCCCCTCCCCCTTTCCCTTTCACACTCTAAAGAACGGAAAAAATAACCTCACTCCTCAGGTAAGGATTATTTTTTTTAAAAAAGTTTTTTGTGAATGGAGTATTTGGGAAAACCCTCAGGGACTTAATCCATCTGAATTGAGTGAGGTGGAGCAGTGCTGTGGAATGGAGCCACAATCCATGGACTGAACTCAGTAGAAGTAGGAGCTGACAGCCACAGTGACCTTGATATTGTAAATCCTCAGTGCCTTCCTCCCCTTCACCTTTCATGGAATTGGCAGAAACCTCAAGGATGACACTGGACTTCCTAGAGAGTCAAGGCCATCTTCTCTAGATCTTAAAAGGCAGGGGCACCCTGGGTGCATCTGAGTCACATTTATATAATAATGTCCCTTTCCCCCTTGACCTTGCCAACCACCATTTTGCTAACCCATATGCAACCACAACTTTTGGTGAGGGTCTCAGTTTGTAAAGCAGTAGAGTATAGTGGGGATTCTAAAACCAGACACGTTGGGTTTGGAGCTGGGCTCTGCCACTTACTATGTGGCTGTGGACAACTTATTTCACCTTTCTGAGCTTCGGTTTATTCATCTATAAAATGGGAGTTATTATATTAACCTACTACCTCATGAAGCTTTGGGGAGAATAAATATAATACTCTATAGAACGCATGTAGAACAATTCACATAGTGTTTGAGGAGTAGAGTGAAGAAATAAAATGGAGTTATTAAAATTAAGTAGGCTGAGGCATGAGGAAACCATTATTCTTGTTCTGACTGACTCTGGGAACTTAAAGTTTTGAACTTTCCAGTCCTGCGTCAATACCTGGATGGGCACCAGTGCGTTGTGCGTTAATGCCTGGCTGGGCATCAAACCTTCAATTAACCCTTTGAATTACCTCAAGAAGAAACTGTGCCATTGTCCAGACCACCAGACCTCAGACAGCCACCATCGTGGACCAAGCCAGGGGCCAAGAGTGCAGACCTGGATGTGCTTTTTACTATGAAGAACCCCCAGCTTTCCGTTCTCCTGTGGAACACGCTGGGAATTGCCTAGTTGTGTTTCCAGTTTGCGAACCCTAAGACTCTTGAGTAAATCTGTGTCATTTACCTCTACCCAAAGCTGCCTGACTCTTCTGGCTCAGTTCACAGTGTTCATTAACTCTTACTGACGCCCCTGCCTCCGTGCCTGGGAGGAATGCAATCACTGGTATCGCTGATGATTTTGAGGAGGCCTGTGGATGCCTGACCTCTGCTCCAATCTACCAGAGCCATGTGTGTCTTGGTTCAGAGAGAGGCAGAGCCTTTTTCTCAGGCCGTTTTAGCCACTACCTGCCCTTCAGTTCCTGGGACGCGAAAGAACCTGTAAGCCCCACGCTGGCACCCGGGCATTCTCCAAGGGAGTGGGACGGTTCCCTGCAGCTCACCCCTCCAGGAATAAGCGCCCCAAGCACAGACGTGCTGCTGAGAGGAGAGTGGAACTGTCCTCTTAAAGGGAGGGTGGTGCTTTAATGGGCTCTACGTGAAAGGAAAGGACGTATTGCTGTTGAGGCGGCTGAGGCAGGCACAAGCTGGAGCGCAGGGCTGGTTCTGGAGCAGGGTGGGCAAAGCTGGCTCTGGAGCCAGGTGGGTGAGGCAGCTCTGGAGCCAGGTGGGTGAGGCGGCGCCCGCTCCTCAGCACTCCGCCTTCGGCTCTGCCACTTTCTCTTCTGTGCTCTGGCTGGGATGCACTTGGAGAACCTGTGCTTTTCCGATGCACTCTGTGAGAAGGGGAGACACAGCTGGCCGAGAGGAGGGGAGGGGCCAGGCCCTACCTTGGAGCTGCCCAGGAGATTTGGGAGGAGGCCTTCTCCCCACCAGGCCCCGGGCAGATGTGCGAGAGCAGAGGGAGATGCAGGAGGGCCAGTCAACCCAGCTTCTGCTCTGGGCTCTGCGGTGACGAGGAGCTCAGAGCCTCACTACATCCAGGTAACAAATATCAATGAAGTGCCTGCTCTATGCAGACCCCCCGCCAGCCACTCAGGACCCTTTGCAGGCCAGTGGGGGAGAATATAGTACATGGAGATACCTGCCTGTTCTCCCCTCCCACCTCCGTTCTCCTCCCCTGCCTTGGTCTCAGGCACCAGAGTGACTGTCGCAGCCTCCTCCTTCATCTCCCCCAACCTCCCGCTGCCCCCAACATTCCCAATGATCCCTAGAGCCTGGCACATAGGCACTAGATGAGTTTCTGTTGAATGAATGGATGGATGGAATGAGCAGCTTCCTTGGGCAGAGACCTATCTCCCAGGAGCCTTACATCCCCCAAGGAATCCAGCGAGCGTGGGCCTCAGTGAGCCTGCAGGGATCTGCCCCACGGAATCTTACCTGGTTTTTCGCTTTTGGGAAGAGGCGGTGTCTTTGACTTCTTTGGGGATTGGCTATAACCAACACAAAGGAAAGGAGGTCCGGGAAGGTCAGGATGGACTGCACCATAGCAGAGCAGCAGGTGGGCGAGGAGGTGAGGAAGGGGCTCCCGGAAGAGGCAGCAGCCAATCCGCCCTGAGAATCAGCAAGCACTACCCAAGCCAGACCCTGACAACTGTGACTCCATCGCCTGTTGTGCCACAGGGAGCCAAGGCCCTCCTGCCCCAGGAGCTGTGAGGGAGGCCACTACAGCCCCCCACCCCACCCCCCGGCCCTTTCTTGGCCTCGCAGACAGGAAGCCTTCCCCTGGGAATGGAGGAAGGGAGAGCCTGCTTCCCTAATGAAGTATTTACAAGCATGAATAATGCTCTCGTATTATCTTGTATCGACTTTACACTTCAGCGAGCCTTTTTATGCACCCGATGTACTTTCCTGCCCTCCGCTCTGGGAGAGGGGCTTTTGAGAGGTAAAACCGGTTCAGAGATGGGAGGTGTCTTGACCAAGGTCACAGTGACGCCTGCCTTTCTCCTGGGCCTCCCCCGCCCCCCGAGTGGCAAAGAAACCACGTGCAGGGCCAAAGCGAGCACCCACACCTGTAAGAAACCTAAGCGAGCACCAGCCCGCCACGCTCCAACCACCCCAGACTCAGCATCCCCGAAAGTGTGCACACCACTTCCATTCCTGACACTTCCCACCCTCTCCTTGGCCTGTTCAAAGCCTCTTCACCCAGCAGTGCTCTCCCAGTTCTATCAGGAGTGCTCGGGTGATGTTACACACACACACAGCCCTGCGTGCCCTCACTCCCCTCCCACCCCACCTGTGTGTCAGACTCTAGGAATTTTCACTTGTAACACACTCTTGTGTGGATCTGAGCACTGCTGGGCGTATCAGGTAGGCGAGCCCAGGCCTGGTCCCAGCTTTTCTGCCGACCGGCCAGGTGTCTATGGGTCATTCAGTTCTTTCTGAGTCTCAGTTTCCTCTGGAGGTCATAGGGCCTCCATGGGTGGTTGTGCAGAGCACCAGCGACGTCAGGGAGATAGAATGGGTGCTCAGTACTGCAGGTTCCGGTGCTGACCTGTCAGGCCCTCCGCACCTGCTTTGTGAGGCCTTTCTTCACCCTCCCTTTCCTCACCTTGGAATTAATCTCTTTCTCTCCAGCCACCCAGGGTGCTTAATACCGACGTAAAGGCACTGCCGCCTGCCTGTGCTAGCATCCCTTCTCTACCGTGTCCTCCCAGAGAGCTCCTGGGGGGCTAGCTGCGGCTCCGCCAGCCCTGTCTGGCTGCAGCTGACACCGGTCACCCCCTCAGGCACCCCGCGGCTGGCGGCTGAGTCTGGTCTGGCGGAGCGGGCCTCTGAGCAGCACACAGAGCCTGGAGGGTCCCGTGGCGGGGGCTGACCTCTTCCTCCAGGACAGGCTGTCAGCCGGCTCCGGCCAGTGCCAGGCCCCCTTCCCCGCACCCCACTAGCCTCACCGGGAAGGACAGGTGCTGACCATGAGGGAGCAGTTCTGGGCACAGAGGGGCAGGTGCGGGGTGAAGCCCACCTGAAGGCTGGCTGTGGCCTCTCCTGAGATGGCTCCTGGACATCCTGGAGCTGGTTTAGAAGTTTTTCGGTTGGGATGGAGACCAGACCCTGGGGAAGGAGCTGAGCCACTGCCGTCTGCAGGAGCCCCAGCGCCACCGCTTTTTCTGTAAGCACAGGGAGCGGGGTCCTCAGGGGCATGGCCCAGCCCCCTCCTGTCACCAGATGGGACCTGCAGGCAGCAGGGCCCCCGGCTCTTCTGCCCACCCCAGCCCAAGGCAGCTTCTCAACCATCTCATATTCTGCCCACAGGGCCCCATGGGCAGGTCCTGCTTCTCCCTGGACCCTGTGTGTGCTGCGTGCCCAGCCCCTCCAACCTCCCTCGTGTGTACCGTGGCCTTGGCCCGCCTGCCCACAACACCCCTTGGCCCACTCTGGGAACCCTATAGGGGACCTGCCCCTCTCCTCCCCTTACTCTCCCCATCAGGAAGCCGCCTCCAATCTCTGGCTCTCATCACTCCTCACCCTCCCTTTTAGACATACCCTCTCCTCCCTGTCCCAGTGCATACATACATGTCCATTCTTATGTCCATGTGTGTTCCTATGTGCGTGTATCTGCATCTGTGTGTGTGTGTGCGTTTCCCACAGTGGTGGGTGAAGGGCGCTGTGTCTGCTCCATCTGGGCTTTGGACTCTCCCTCCTGGGTGCAGTCAGCGTGGGGGAGGGGTCCCCTGTGAGGAGCAGGGTCACGGAAACCCTGCTGAGGAGGGGGCGGGGGAGCAGCGGAGCCCCGCTGGGAAAAGTTAGCTCCGGGCCCAGAAAGGAGAAAGGCTCGGGCGGAAGGCGGGGTGGGCGCCGAGTGACCCCTGAGTCCTGCAGAAGCAGCGGGCCAGGCCCTCGGCAGCCTCCACTCAGAGGAGGCCCTGGGCCTGGGGCTGTGCCTCACCCTTGGGAGGAGCGTAGAGGAGCCAGAACTGGATAGCACTCAACGAATCTGTTTGCAGGATCTGACAGAGGAGCTCCAAGATCTGTGGGCAGGAGGACAGGCCTGGGTCAGTGTGTGGACGGCACCTTCCAGCCAGCAGCACAGGTGCCTGCCCTGAAGTGGGCTCCCAGGGCCACGTGCTTGGCTGAACTGGTCCTCGCAATGGTCCTGCCCCCCCCGCCCCACACTCTGCGTGGGATACGCTGGCTACAGAGGGCTTGCTCTCCCAAGGGCCCTGGAGGAAGGCTCTCGGCCTCCTCGCTGAGCAGGTGAGGAGGCTGAGCTACGAGAGGGCCCAGCAGGGAGACTGAGGCAGCACTAACCCTCGGAGTCAGAGCTGTGGGCCCTCATCTGCGAGCCCTGCGTGGGGGGTTGTACCCCAGAGTCCCGCCCTGGGAAGGCCAAGTCAGAGCTGCACACTCAGCTCCTGAGAGACGCACCGAGTCCCAAATGCCCGAGTCCTTGGTGGGGGGATTTCAGGGTCCCCACGAGCCTCCCCACCCTGAAGTTCCCAAATTCAGAGTCTGGAGACGCTAGCAAAGAGGCGGGCTGCTCCCAGCGGGCGACCCGAGGGCTGGCGCCAGCGGGCTCTGCAAACTGCACGGTTTGGAGCTCCTGCCCCGCTTTGCTCGCAGCCCCGTCCTCAGCCGCGGCCACCTCTGCTGCGTCAGGGCCCTTCTTCCTCTGTGCTCTCCAGGCAAGGATCGTGTGGAAAAGATCCAGCTCTCTCTCGAATGCGCTACGGGGGCTCTCTAGGCGGCCACTGGGGCTACGGCTGGCTGGAGGTTGAGGCTGCGATGGGGGGTGGAGCACCTGGCGTCCTAGGAAAGTGGGGTTCCCTCTTTCAGGAGAGCCCACCTGAACCAGTGGCGGTCAGAGGGGAACGTGGGCTCACCTCTCCCCAGGCCTGTGCCTGCTAGGGTGTCCACCCTTGCCCCCAGGTCCCCACCCCATACGGTGACCCCAGCCCCACTCTGCCCCAGGGTCCTTCTCAATTCACCACTTCCAACTTACCTGCCCTTTGCACCCTCCCCAAGGAACCCGAGAACCTACTTCCAGGCAAGGTGAGGCCGCCCTATGGTGGAGAAAGTGCTGTGTTCTAGTCCCAGCTACGCTGCTGGCTCTCTGGGGACCTGGGCCACAGAGTGGCACCTGGAAGGGCCTCAGCCTCCCCATCTGTGGAATGGGGGATCCCGGGCCCTGTCTGCTCTGTTCACCTCACTGGACTGTTTTGAAAGCACTGGTCACAGGAATGGTGTCAAGAAGCTGGCTCATTGTCTGGCCTTTCCTGGAGTTGGTCATTTGGTTGTATAGGCTTTTATATGTA